TTTGGAGTTTTAGTGTGGTTCTGCAACAACACAATGGTGCTCCTATATATATATATATATATATATATATATATATATATATATATAAGAGCCAAGATGGCCATCACATTTTAGTCATGGCGCAACTTTCTCAACGGGTTACGTGGAAACCAATGTGCTCTGTGTGTGTTTATATATTATATATATATAGCCAAGATGGCCACCACATTTTAGTCATGTTGTAAATCTTTATTACGATCAGCTTGGGTTTTAGGTGACATTCATTATTTTATTTTTTTTGGATAACCGGGTATCATGGCCAAAGCCCAGCATAGGACGGAAAGCCAACCAGGTGATTTGGAATATACGTTCTCTCCCCAAACTTGAAATTCGAACTCAAGACGGGACAGACGCTTTGCACCCTCTTTTCACCGGTTGAACTACCCAAGTTTAAGTGTGACATTCATTAATTGATAACAAATACTTCAGTTTTCCCCTTTAACAAATCTACAATGTCTAGAAAGAACCAAAACCGTGTGTTTGTCTATCATAGCGATGTGGAAATATTAAATCTTGGTGCAGACAAACGATTGGAAGAGACACAAACCAAGCTTGTTTTATAGGAGTTATTAGGTCATGGATTATAATTGATTTTAATTCACGTTAGATATAGATTATAATCTATTGTTGATCGATCAACGATTTCAAAAACTCTAGAGAAAATCGTATATAAATTCATGAAATCATAATCAAATCACATAGAAATATAAGAATTTTAAAATTTCTGTATAAAATACGCAAACTCGTCAAGACTTTCACAGAATACCGTAACTTCTACATTAAATCATAAACTCGACATTCGGCTCATATATAACACCGTTATGTTTGATGTCATCGATTTATTAATAGAATCTGCCAAAGAAGGGATGAGTTGGCGCCAATTCATCAAACACATAAAAAATTCGAAATTTTATCATACAAATTTTAAAAATTAAAATTAAAATAATCATGAGAAAATTTTTAAAAATAAAACAAATAAAATTTAAAACATTAAAAAATTCAAAATAATAATTCAAAAATTTTAAAACTAAAAACATTAGTAAAAATAGTATATTCCCACACAAATTTATCTATATGTACAGCAAATATAAACCAATTTTTAATTTTACAAAAAAAAAACTACATATGAATTCAAATCGTTCCAAATTCCATCATGAAATTACTAAACTAATCGTAATCTCCTACACCAACATTAATGGAGTTAAAATTAATCAATTACCGTCTACAAGAGATGATGATATGATATGTCAGATCATAAAAATTTGTCCAAGTATGGACGCTATGTCATTTGATTATCATTGTAAATTTCATACAATGTTTTGTCATATTTTACGGTATGACATATATATACATACACGTATATATATACTTGTTTATACAAACAACTATATAAACGTTTATATGTGTATATATATATATGTTTAAAAATTAAAAACTAAAAAAATAATTTATGTATGCATGTACACGTGTATGTATACGCATATAGACATATAGAATGTTTTTTTATCTCTAAACTTTAAACAAGTGTATACATATTTACACATATACACGAGCTCCCTCGTGGCAGTCACTACAACGAGAAATACCTCGTCCCCCTTCCGGATCATCCGACTGAGATAAAAAACCTTTATCAATTCATTAAATACAAATGATTAATATAACAAAAATATATCATCATAAAAGTATTTATATTCTAATGGTGAATTTTACGATTCTATATTTTTTTAAATCTATTTATAACAATTTTATTTATAAACGTATTAAATATATCCTTTTCTATAAAACAAATTATTCTATCACTCAAAATTTGTATTTTATCTTATCTATTTGATTAGAATGATATTAATACTTTTTTTTTCATTTGTGTTATTAGTATGTTTATTTTCAATATATATATATATATATATATATATATATGCGTATATATATATATACACATAGGCGGATCCACTTGTTAACAAGTGGACTCATTGGCCCCACTAAAATTTTAAAAAATATATTGTTTATAAAATTTAACAAAATTTTAAAGAAATTTCCCCATTAGTATTTAATTTGTGCCCTCATTTTTTAAAATCTTTTTTTTTTCTTTTCAATTCTCTTTCAGTTTCAATACAAAAATCTCATATAAATACATGAACTATTAAATTTCCATATAAATATCTGAACTTTTATAAAATCCTACATAAATACCTAAACTTTTGAAAATCTTCCAAATAAACCCAAAATCAGTTAATGACATCACCTATATTTATTTGAAAAATACTTGAAATTTGTATTTATTTGGAAAAAATTTCAAAAGTCTAGGTATTTATATAGAATTTTTAAAAATCCAGATATTTATATGGAAATTTAATAGTTCAGGTATTTGTATTTATATTTATGTGAGATTTTCATAAAAGTTTAGCTATTTATATGCTATTTTTTCTAAATTTAATTAATATGTTATCCCATTACCCTCCACATGTTTTAATGAAGGTACCGTTAGTTAATAATGGGTATTCAAATCTTTGCATTTTTTTTTCATGAAGAAGCAAATTGCCAACTTGGGCCAGTAGGTGCGTGTAGAAAATCCTTTGACATGCTGCCACGGTGACACAATTGGGAAGACCGAAATTTTGTAAGGGGGAGAATCTGCAGAGGTAACCGAGGCACCTCCTGGTGCTTTGAAATGCAGGCTTTTGTCTGATAGAATTTCAGCTTCAATCATCAATCTTTTGGCCACAACTTAATTATTGTCGAACAAATTCTTTTAAGCAAATTAATTTAGATGCCAACACTTGCAAACGAGACTTCGAGGAAACGAGAGCTTCATCTAGAATATCGTCACCATGGGTGCTCCGAGTTCTTCCTTGAACTTTCCATTTCCATCTTTAAACCTTTCAAACACATCACGTTTTTGTACTGCCAAAGGGTACCAATGGGTATATTAAAAATCTCTTTGTACGAATCACTTCCCTACCAATGGCATGAGAGATTTTTAATAGTTTACCAAAACAACCAAATGATGAAACGGATAACCCCGATTTATTTAGAAATACATACAACTTGAGTGAACATGTTGGAATGCGATCACTCCAACATCATGTTTTATATATTGCAATTAAAAGAGGAAAATTATTGGTTATATGATAGATAGGTGGAATGTTTTTTAGTTGTGTGTGAATATCCCAGAGATCACGCTGCAGTCACGCCCTTACACGGGAATGCTTTCGGCGAATAAAGAGACCACATAATCTTTCAAGAATTCTGGATTGGTGAAGGAGTCTTGGTACTTGTAGAATACCTCAGTAACACGTGTGAGGTTAAGAATCCGCATTAGGATAGGACGAGGCGTAGAGTAAGGCCTCATCAGTTCTTGGTTCAGATCTTTCCATGTCTCTGTGATGATCCTTTCAATCTCTTTTGTGGCCTTTTCCACGGAAACACCATACTGTTTCATATAACAATCAATCGCTGTTCCGACATGCTTCCGTTTATGTTCAAACTGCAATCATGGGATGTAACGTGCGGGTACACCGTGAGTTTCATTTTTCTTCAACATTTTGATGAGTGTGTATATATATATATATGGGATTTTATATTGTTTGAGATTAATGTTCATAGATTACGAATTGAGGATGAGTACCTCGTAGCTTGTAATGTCGTCCATGAATCGAGTAATTATTTCAGAAGCTATGAGGACTTTCGGCTGTGAGCTTATCCACTCGTACGCATCCAATTTGCAAACATCAGTCATTCCTGCAAATGCTGCAGCCACCGCTGTATAGTAGCCGTTGGAAAAAACTCCGTTCTCTTTATATTCATCAAACATGGCTATGTAATCTTCATTTGACCATTTCGCCTCTTGATAGTAGCTACTCCCCAATGATTTTATCTGATACCGAAAAATCCAACAACTGAATGTGTAACCAAACCAAGTGATTGTTGTATGGAAGTTGAGAGATTTCTAGGACTAAGGTTTGGTTTTTCTTACAGATTTTTTCAAATGGAATCCGCATCCCGGTCTTCCGTCTTTCTCGATCTCCTCCTCGAGTTTGTCATAAAAGTCTACCAGAATACTATAGAAACACTTCATGTTATCCGGTAACCCTTCGGGGGCTGTAGGAAGCCACCTGCAAAAGAAACCTCCATTGCATTACAATGATAAATCTTGGGTTCATATAAGCAAAGTACGTATCCTATATTACTTATGATGCAAATGCCCTCCATCTTATCCATGTTATATCGAGTTTCACTTTGTACACGTGATTTGCCCATAAATATTGTGGAATGTCTCGGCCAAACAAGAAACCAAATATTAGAATATCAAGCACCTGTTCAATGCATCTGTGAAAAGGTCAAGTTCCTCTATCGTGCCATAAGCATCGTATGTGTCATCGAGAATTGTTAGTAATTGTATAGTAATTGTCAGTAGAATTCGCGCCCGCGAATATTGCGGCTCGAAATATGTTCCAAGCGCCCACAAGTAGCACTCAACTATCCGATTTCTAGCGTATGCTGCTTTAGAACCGATCTTCAAATCTTTGTACCACCTGAAACATTGAGAGAAACTAAATCATTTGTGCTAAAAGTCAAAGTGTAAGAAATCTCCGCTAAGCAACAAGTCTCTTATATGCATATATAATCATATCACCTAGTCGCATAGGCGAGTTCTTCACGGTGTAGCAGTTGTAGTATGTTAAAATCCAACTTAGCAAATTTGAGCAACGTTTCATCGTGCGGTACTTCTTCTTGGTAATACGATATATATTGTCTCGTCTCTATCCTCGTAATTCCCCTGGGGTATGGATGTTTTAGAGTGTTCTTGATGCGTTCTCGGATATGGGGGCTGGATTTAGAAGCCAACACTTGCAAACGAGATTTCGAGAAAACGAGAGCTTCATCTAGAATATCTTCGTCACGGGTGTTCCAATGTGCAGCTTCGTACAAACTTAGCATACCCTTTGCATCACCGAGGTATTCCTTGAACTTTCCATTTTCATATTTAAACCTTTCAAACACATCTTTAAGGGGTATAGAACTTTGGTTAGCTGAGAAAGAGGAAGACCAATAAATAAAATATATAACCTCGAACGCATTTATTTTCACATGCACTTTTATTGCTTTAATTAATTTATAAAACTTCTTTTTTGTAAAAAGTTATCTCACCGACAGAGAGTTTGTAGCCAAATTGCCTGAGAATTTGGAAAACAATTCCAACGGTAGATAGATCATATTTTTCATCATCTATCATATCGTTTAGGTCACGAATACTGAAAACCATATTGAGGTGATCTTCTATATCTTTTTCAAAATGGTAGGACACTCCAAGACGGCATAACGCATCAATGAACTTGAGGTTCTCGATGGGATTAGCTTTGGAGGCCATAAGCATTTCCTTCACTTGCCCCTTCAGCACGCTATGTTTCTCTTTGTACGCATCACTTCCCTACCAATAAACAATAAACACTAAACATTAATTATTATAAACGAATAATAAAATAACGTAATTTTGTTGAGTTCACCAAAAGTTTACGTGCGACCTTCTACACAAGTTGGAAGACGGACAGAGAGATAGCAAGTTCCATAATTCTTGGATGTGTCAGATTTGGAATCGTATATTGGTTAATGTTTTGATAATATTTAATGTAATGACCGGAAAATACATACCGAATCAGAAACAGAGAAAGAGGTGAGTAGATCATCCCAGATATTGGCCGGAAAATCGGCCAACGGACGTTTGGTCTCTCTCTCGGCGCTGAGTGATTCCATGGCTTAGCGTGTTTGTAAGAACAATGTTGGTGTCTCGAAATGGTTCTGCAAAGCGTGGCAACTCAATGGTGCTCTACATATAGTACCCAAGATGGCCATCACATTTTAGTCATGTCGTAAAATTTTATTACGATCAGCTTAGGTTTTAGGTGGCATTCATTAAATGGTAACAAATACTTCAGTCTAGAAAGAACCAAAACCATGTACATTTATAGAGTTATTTAGACATGAATTTTAAAAAATCTCATATAATATAAATAAACGAACTCGTCTAGATTTCCACATTAAACCTTGAATATATACATAGATATGTGCACACATAGACACATATCCATGCTTTTACACATATATATGCATACTTATGCATGTATATACAAACAAATATATGCACATATGTATATATTCGTTTAAAAATTTACAAATTAAAAGTAAAAAATAATTTATATATGCATATACACATATAGACATGTAGAATATTTTTTACATTTTTAAAACTTTTAAACAAATATATACACATATACACGTGTATATATTTCTTTTTATAAACATGTATATATGTACATAAGCATATGTATAAATATATTTGTATTGTATGTATATTCGTATATATGCGTGGTGGCTGACCCAAAACATTTTATAAATGGGGTCACTAGTAATGCACATATGATTTTATATACACATAAAAAAATTAACTTGTAAAATGTTGAAATTAAACTTTTCGCTTGATAAATTTATTTGCAAACTTTCAAAATATATCATTATAATTCTCAAACTTGTTAATTGGTGTAAAAAAATCTACAATATTGATTCAAAAATTAGTTTGGAAATTATGATGACATATTTTACAAGTTTGAAATTATAACGACATATTTTGCAAGTTAGAGAATAAATTTATTAAACGAAAAGTTTAAAATTTTATTTTTTACCATTTTACTAGTTCTAAAATTTTTATAGATTTTACCATAAAATTATAAAGAAAACAAAAAAAAAATTTATAATTAGAGGGGACATGTGATCCCACTATATATTGAGGGGATCCGTCCATGCATATGTATATCTATAATTAGAATATATTTGAGTCTGAAAATTTTGATAGAAAATCAAATTATAAGAGATTTTAAGTGTTTTATGAATAAAATTTATAAAGAAAACAAATTAAGTAGAGAAGAGGACCTATGACTCTACTATAGATTAAGTGGGTCCGTCTATGCATATGTATGTATATAATTAGAATATATTTGAGTCTGAAATTTTTGATTAAAAAATTCAAATTTTAAGAGATTTGAAGTGTTTTTAGGAATAGTTTTTTGTAGAAAGAATTTTTACTTATTTTTTTTCGAAAATAAACTAGTGTATATGGTAAGTTAACTCGATAGAGATTTCCAACTGCACAAGTACCATTCTCTCCCAACAAATAAATTGTTTCTAAAACTTGGCACATGATATTAGTGTGTTAATTTCTAAAAGTCAAAGGACACCGACGGTCACCAAACCAAGGAGACAGATGCGGCCTACGAGAAAAATGTTTGCACGCCATATGAATGTTAATTTCCAAGGCTTTGTGCCTCGTTGGTCAAAAATACACCGCACTAACCGTACAAAAGTCTTTAAAGTATCATGTGCCATGTGAGAAGGTCTCACGAATATCTTCTTGATTTAAGGATAAGGGTGGATGTACAATAATAGGATTTGGTCAAGCAAATATCAAACCCACATCGAAGGAATGGATTGCTTGATATGTCCATTGGTTTAGGAAAGAAGTCAAGTATGTTTATGGGAAAATGTCACGTATCGAGAGACCAAACAGAGCAAAAGAATTCGGCTTCCATTGATCGGTTCTTTACAGAGTATATATACAGATTCAATATGTTCTAACCTAGGAGATGAATATGGCAATACAATCAGACGATGCAGATATGCAGGAGAATATGCAAGGTTTCCTTTTTTTGCTGATACAATCTATCCCTTTACCCCCCCTCAAGTTGGAACATAGATATTATGTATGCCCAACTTGGACAAGAATGAATCGAACTCTCGTGTACCCAATGCTTTCGTGAAGATATCTGCGAGCTGTTGATGGGAAGAGACGTTCCGAGTTGCAATCTGACGGGATTGTATATGGTGGCGAAGAAAGTGACAAGTAACTTCAATGTGCTTCGTGCGATCATGGAAAACGTCGTTAGCCGCGATATGTAGGGCCGCTTGACTATCACAATGAAGAAGCCTTGGTTCAGAATGATTAACACCAAGAGACAGTAGCAAAGACTTGAGCCATAGAAGTTCACAGGTTGCCATCGCCATTGCGCGGTATTCCGCTTCAGCAGAAGACAAGGAAATGGTTGGCTGCTTCTTTGATCTCCACGAGATTGGTGAGGATCCGAGTTGAATGAGGTAGCCAGTGAGAGATCGACGAGAGCGAGGACAGCCAGCCCAATCAGAATCGGACCACCCATAAAGGCGGAGATCGGAATCAGCACGCAACAATATACCCTGTCCTGGATTGCTCTTGAGATATCGGACAACACGTAATGCTACATCCCACTGATCACTGCGAGGCTCCTGCATGAATTGCGTTAATATGTGAACAACATAGGTGATGTCAGGTCTGGTTGCAAGCAAATAAAAGAGTTTGCCGACGAGACGTCTGTAAGGTTCGGGATCAGGTAGCACCAGACTCGATGAGACAGCCAATCGATGATTTTGATCTAAGGGAAATGTGGCAGGCTTCGATCCGAGCAGCCCTGTTTCGGCAATGAGATCAAGAGTGTACTTTCTCTGACATAAATAGATGCCTTGCGGATTTCGAGCAACTTCAAGACCGAGAAAGTATTTCAGTCGACCCAAATCTTTCATGTGAAAACACTGATTTAGGTAGGTCTTGAAGGCACGTATGGAAGAAGCTGAGTTTCCCGTGATGAGCAAATCATCCACATACACCAGAAGATGAATCCGAACATGCGATCTGTGCAGAATGAACAGGGAATGATCACTCTGAGTCTGAACAAAACCATACCGAGTAAGGGCCGAGGCTAATTTGGCAAACCAACACCGCAGCGCTTGCTTGAGGCCGTAAAGAGATTTTCGCAGACGACAGCATTGGTTTGGAGTTGAAGCAGTGAACCCCGGTGGTAATTTCATATAGACTTTGTCAGTAAGATCACCATGGAGAAACGCGTTGTGTACGTCCATTTGATCAACATCCCAGTGACGAGCAGCAGCTACAGCGAGGAAAGTGCGGACGGTGACCATCTTCGCAACGGGAGCAAACGTATCGTCATAATCGACTCCCTCGGTTTGGCGATTACCAAGAATGACGAGGTGAGCTTTGTGGCGTTCTATGGAGCCGTCCGAGCGGTATTTGGTGCGAAACACCCACTTGCAGCCAATAGCCTTCTTATGAGGAGGGAGAGGTTCGAGTGTCCAAGTCTGATTTTTCTGTAGAGCAGTGATCTCATGATGCATCGCTTGACGCCAACGATCATCGACAACAGCTTTGGCATAACTTCGTGGTTCAGTTGCGTCAGAGACAGCTGCTAGAAACGCTCTATGCTTTGGCAAAATGTTAGCATAATGTTATTTGGTTGATCGAAGACTTGAATTGTGATCTTCCTCTGAGAACCGATGAAAGCACCCAAAACGAAAAGCTATGAAAACAGAGGAGTTTAACGAGTTCGGATTGTTTATGATCCTACGTCTCGGCCAAGTATCTTTGGCAATCCACTAGGTTTGATCGAGAGAATACACACCGAAAGATTACAGACTCTTGAAAGAACCCTAACCCCTGAAAGTGATAAACCCAGAATAAATCTTCGTACAGAGGAGGAAGAAGACCCGACTTTATACAAGGCTCAAACGGACTCAACTAACTCGGCCCTGAGGATTACTAAATTACCCTTAGTAACCCTCTACTCGGATTAGAGGAAGCACATGCATTACAACAAACTCCACCTTGAATGTGTTACCTTCTTATCTGAGTTCTCTCTTTCTCGACTATTGGATTGTGATCAAAGATATTTTATATACCCCTTGGCAGGGTTTCTACTGACAGTTACCTGTCAGTAACCTTCAGCAAGGCCAATGCTCGATTGAACTTGCCAACGGGAAGAGTCTTTGTTAACATGTCTGCTGGGTTAACTTCTGAATCAATCTTCATGACTTGTACCTTGTTCTCTGCTATGATTTCTCTTAAGAAATGCAATCGGATATCGATGTGTTTAGTTCTTTCATGATGCACACTGTTTCGAGCTAAACAGATGGCACTCTGCGAATCACAGTAGACTTTGACAGGACCTTGTTTGATTCCCAGTTCATGAGACAGCCCCCTTAACCATAATGCTTCCTTAAAAGCTTCAGCTAAGGTCATGTATTCTGCCTCAGTAGTAGATAGAGCTACAACATGCTGCAAACCTGATTTCCAGCTGATGACATTTCCTCCCAGGGTGAATATGTATCTTGTGATTGATCTTCTTTTATCCAGATCCGAAGCATAATCTGAGTCACAGTACCCTCTTAGCTCAAGCTCTGCTTCCCTGTTGTAGACCAACTTTAGACCAATCGAACCTTTTATGTATCGGAGAATCCATTTTACAGCTGACCAATGAACCTTGTTTGGTCTGCTCATGAACCTACTTACCAGACCGATGCAGTATGCTAAGTCTGGTATGGTTCCTATCATACCGTACATAATGCTTCCAACAGCGTTTAGATAGGGTGTGCTATCCAGATTCAGGATTTCATCTTCTTCTTGTGAACTCTTAAGTTTGAAGTGAGCTCCCATGGAGGTTTGAACTGTTTTCGAATCACTCATTCCAAAACTTGTAACAACCTTCTGTAGATAATCTCCTTGCGAGAGGGTCAATATGCCTCTTCTGCGATCTCTACCTATGTCCATCCCCAAGATTTTCCTTGCTTTACCTAAATCTTTCATGTCAAACTCCTTTCCCAGAATATCCTTCAGTTTATGTACTTGATCTTTGCTCTCGGATGCAATCAACATATCGTCTACGTATATTAGCAGGTATATGAATGCTCCTTGTT